TGCCCCAGCACACACACACACACACACACACACACAGATCCCGCGGTTCTGCCCCATCCCCGGAGGAGCCCCGGCAGCGGGACATCCCCAGCGGAGCCCGGATCGGTCCCCCCGGTCCCCCCCGCCGCCGCCTCCCCCCGCCGTTGCCGCGGCAACCGGGCCGGCTGCAGCGCTCGGGCGGCGCCGGCAGGGGGCAGCACCGGAACGGCATGGTCGGGCGGGGGGCAGCCAGCGGGCAGGGAGCGGGCAGGGAACAGACTTATTGCAGGCAGGGAGCGGGCAGGGAGCGGGCTGGTTGTGGCCTGGGTGCAGGCTGTGCACAGGCTGGGTGCAGGCAGGGAGCAGGGAGGGTGTAGGCTGATTGCAGGCAGGGTGCAGGCTGTGTACAGGCAGCGTGGAGGCAGGGTGCAATCCCAAGTCCCTGTGATGGAGCGGGACATCGGGGAGGGATGGAAATCCCAGGTCACCTGCGGGGGGGGCTTGGAAAAACTACGGGGAGGGGCTCAGCAGCAGCACGTGAAGGCCCTGGGAGTGGTGACAGGCAGGGTGAAGGCAGGGTGCAGGCAGGGCACAGGCTTACTGGAGGCAGGGTGCAGGCTATGCACTGGCAGTGTGCAGGCAGTGTGTGGGCAGGGTGCAGGCATAGGCTGTGCACAGACTTATTGCAGGCTGATTGCAGGCAGCATGCAGGCAGGGTGAAGGCTGATTGCAGGCAGGGTTCAGGCAGGGCACAGGCTTACTGGAGACAAGGTGCAGGCTGTGCAGAGATTTATTGCAGGCTGATTGCAGGCAGGGTGCAGGTTATACACTGGCAGTGTGCAGGCAGGGTGAAGGCAGGGAGCAGGCTGATTGCAGGCAGTGTGAAGGCAAGGCACAGGCAGCATGGAGGCAGGGAGCAGGCCGATTGTGGACTGGGTGCAGGGAGGGTGTAGGCTGATTGCAGGCAGAGTGCAGGCAGGGCATAGACTTATTGGAGGCAGGGTGCAGTCAGGGTGCAGGCAGGGCACAGGCTTATTGGAGGCAGGGTGCAGGCTGTGCAGAGATTTATTGCAGGCTGATTGCAGGCAGGGTGCAGGCTGTGCACAGGCTGATTGCAGGCAGCATGCAGACAGGGTGTAGGCCACCCACCTCCCACACCAGAGCTGAGCTCCCCCCTCAGCAACCAGCATCCCCTCCTGCCTGCCCTGCGTGAGGACGCGCCGGTGCAGGGCCTGGAGCGAGCCCTGGCTGCCCAAGGTTAGTTTCCCGTTTGCACCCACATCCCACAGTCCTCTCTCTTGTCCCTGCAGGGGCTGGGGACAGGATTCCCATTCAGAGCTCATATCCCTGTGAGGAAACCTAAATCATCTTCAGGATTTCTGAAACAAGCCTGCTTCATTGGCTCGGCAAGATCCAGTGATGCAACCTGCTTCTCATAATTTCTTCACTTCCTCTTCCATCCTCAGTTTTCACTTTTAACTCAGGCATCACAGCCTTAATTTAGGCTTAGGGGCAGCCATCGTGACACAGCTGGGAAGCTCACAGACAGATCAGTGTTGTCCTGGTCCATCCCCCTGCCCAGCCAAGGGAATGGTCACATCTGCTGTCAGCCTGGCCCAGACATGGAATAACTGGGAGTTACTTAAAGGTGTTTATGGATAAACTGGATGTTGGATAACTCACACTTAATAGCAAAATACAGCTGTGAGCTAAGGAATATTGCAGTACATGTCTACCCTCAGTACAGACTAATACAACCCCCTTAATTCTATACAAACAGTGGTTCTTTAGTGGGGCTTGTATAATCTTTGTGATAAGAGAAAGATGGGGAAAATGGCTGATCAGGCACCCAGACCTTTGTGGCAGGTTTTCTAAGCAAAATACCAGATAGTCTCACTAAGGTGCTGTGAGGCCACAAAATTTTTAGGATTTTCATGACCCAAAAAACCTCTGCAAGCTCTTAAAGACATCCAGGGGGTGCTGGCGCTGCGGGGGTTAACTGGCAGAGAGGGTGGAATCTGCATAAGGCTGATTTGGGGGAAAAAAAAATAATGAAATGCAGCTTTGCTGAAATCAGGGCTGAGTGGGATCTGGTGAGTGGCATCTCTGGTGGGAAACCTCTCCTGGGCAGGAGCCGTGGTGTGTGTGAGGGGCACCTTGCTGGGGGCCAGCAAGGCTTCAGTTCACACCCCGAAATATCCCTCTGTGAGATGTGGGTTATTTATCACTTCCTGGCTCAGTGCTTTCAGCTTTACCCTCATGGTGCAGGAGGGTGATGGGTGGCTGTTGGGGTTGCCCATGGGTGC